AACAATCACACAATTTTTTGTTGACCTCGAATTCCTTTAGAGTTGTATGACGTCAATATGGCATTCGAACGATTATTGTCGATGACGTGTATCGATGGGCAACAACACAAGTAAAGATATCCTCAAGTGGAGTCAAAGGCAATGAATGGCATGCATGTGAGTTGCCGCATCTGATGTATGTGGGTCACAGACAATGGAGTTGCGTGTTTATTAATATCTAGCACACATTCTTGCTAATGTCTCTTAGTAACAGGAGTTGAGCTCGCCACACGGGATTCTCGAGGGGCTAATTCTATCCTGACCCAATTCTGTACTTCCGAACAGTTTGCAATATCCACATGTTTTTAGAGTAAGTTATCGTAATAAATAGGTAAATTCTAGGCGTAATACAAAGTTCTCTCTTGACTACAATAACCTCATTGCTTTTGTGCTGGCTATTGACTTTCTTATCAAGAAAACGCGTTTATGTGGTACTAACTTTGCTGTTAGAACAATCAAGTGTAACCTTACATGAACAGTTAGGTAGCCCATTTACATTTACACTTGTACAGATTTATGCTTATCGTAAAAGTAAAAATATAGGTTGCTTATCTAACTAACGTTCACATAAAACGAGGGTTTTACGTTAGCAGACACCGTTCTTGGAAAACCGTTACTTTGTCTCCTTCCGTGCATGCGACATTGTTACTTTCTGCTTTTGTTCACGACACCTACTAACCGTACCACTTATGTTGCCCATAATACGTAGTTCTCAAGCACTTGACAAGTTTTTATTTGCACAATACTATTGCAATTTTATTGCATTGTTACTTTCTCTATACGAAATTCTATTGGCAGTTAGTTACTTACATCTAAAATACATGTGAGAAGATTTCACTTTTAATCTAGCACAGCCATCTTTTTATGTACATAAGACATTATGTCTATTAAGTAACATATTAATGTTTTATTTTGGTCTATGATTCAAGATATTCGAGCTATTCGATACACTTCGTGCGTCAAGTATTTGTCTTTATGCAATTATATTTTTTATTATGTTGATCTGCAGAAGGTATGATTCTTAGCAACTATTGTTGCGTATTTAAATTATGGATATGGCTTTTGATGCTACTATACACAGAAAATACCAGTTTACTGTGTTTCAACACAAACATTTTTACCTTATGACTACTCATTTTCAATGATGGTAGTAAATCTTCGTTAATTTACTGAGAGCGAGAGTGTTCAAGTCAACGAACTGAGTGCGTTGTTTGTGGTTTGCCACAGGGCGCTGTACTAGGTCCTCGGACGTGCATGGCTTTTGTTGATTTTTTTTATGTTGACATTTTTATTAAAAAAAAACATGGTTTTCTACTTACTGTTCCCTGTTTTGTTCAGTGTTTCCAACAAGCCCTAAGCATTTGGCATTTGAGCTAAACAAAAATACTATTGTACTTATTTTTGACATTGTAACTTCCAAGAATACTGAAGTATTTTGCATGTACATTATATCATGCGGTCATTATGTCTTTGAAGATTTATTTCACTGGAGAGCATTAGCATGAGAATCATATTGTGCGAATTACCGTATTCATTGTCCAACGTTAACGGTAATGCAAGTCATGTGATTTCAATTCTTGTAATAATTACATTCAAAGATGTTCCAAAATACTCCTTGTATCATTGGATATAATTGTTTCTTATTTTTTTTATTTACAAGGAAAATACTTAATAATAATTTTTGCATCCGATATGGTAGTCTTACACACGGTTTCTAAAAGGCTTGTCAACGCTAAAATTAATCTCCTGTTAAATCTCTTGTCACCTGACTTGACTGACTTTATTTTACTAATTGATTTTAACATTGATTGGCCTTTCGGAAACCGGGTGTGAGTATTTGATTACTAAAATTCAATTTGATTTTCTATGTCAAATGTCCCCAAAGTTTCCAAAGTTCCCATTGATTATCAAAATATACAAATATGGCAACCGGATATAGTACTTTTCTTTTATTTGTCTTACGCCAAGCCAGAGGTTTTACTAGCTGTTATGTCTTCCGATATCGATACAACTTACTTAAATTATATATTAATAATCAAAAATGGCTTACGGTAAAGGATTCGATTATTTTTTCATTCACACTGAATAAGATTGATAGCATTCATTTAAAATATTCGCACGTTAGCACCCAAGGTTTTTACATTTAATACGATTTTAATTTAACCGAAATTAATTTTGATGCTTTATATCCCAAGGCAGTTATAAATCACGTGATTCATCTAATGATGTTTTAATGTGTTACGATTTCTTACGTTTCGTACATGTGGAATTGAATTTTCCATATAATATTAATTTGTTCCATTTTCCATGTAGAGATACATTGAAAATATAATAATTTACATAAAAAAGCAATAATTTTTATCCAACTCTTGTACATACGCAAATTCAGTTGTAATTAAATTCAATTTATTGAAATATAAATAATGTATCAAGAATATTCGTGATGCAATTGTTTACGATAAAACAAATGTTGATCATCGGTAGGTAAACAACATTCAATGTAAACATTAAAAGAACTTAACTTGGTGTTGTTATTCCAAACATTTCCGGACGCCTCGATGACGGACGCTGACGTGAATTGGCTTCAAAATATTTTTTAAAAGGTGCTTATGATCGAATTATTTGTAAAGGAACACGTATCTGAGATCTTAATGGATTTTATAATCAATGTCACTAAGCACAAAATGATTTTAATATTAAAGAAGAGCCAATAGCATACATTACAAAATAACACCATGAACTATGTGGGTGTTCCGCAAGGATGCGTTGTTGGTCCTGATGTTGTAAAGGGCTATAATAATAACTATGTTGATCATTGAAGCAGGCAAAAGTGATCATAATGTATAATTATACTAGAATTAGTTAGCGTACAAAATACACGAAGTTTAACTATTGGAGCTGTAATAAATCAAAGAAGTGTTTAAGAAGTAAAACTAAAATATTCAATGTTTATGCGTTTCCGTTTTTTTAAACAAACGTACATACAAGATGTGTCTGTGGAAGAATTTGTGTATACATACAGTATTGTTTGTGGTAAGATCTCCTTTGTTTGACTTATTATTGTTTTAGCGTCCATTAGCTATAACTGTAACCCATTCAACAGTCGTTGAATCATGAGTTGCTAATGCCTAATAAATATTGGAAAGCATTATCATAATTTTGCTGTAATCCATACTATGATACCTTAGTGATTTATCGAAACATTTATCTATAAATTATTTGATTAAAAGCTTTTATTTTCTTTCCGAATATAACATGACTTGGCAACTGATTTCGCTGGCGGTTTATAACGCTATTAATTTGTACTTCCTGTATTATTTTAAAAGAAGATACGTTTTTTCGTCTATTTTTTGTTTGGTAGCTTTATTACATAAAGCGTGGTTTATGAGGGTTACCTCTATCTATTTTGAGTTTAGAATTATTGACTGCAAGATTCTAAGTCCTTTGTGACTCAAGCATAATTACATCATCGCATCTAGCTTCAAAACGGATTGCTTGATAAATTTGGATATCTGTATTGTCGTTAAAAAGTGCAATTAATGATAAATGATTATATTCCAAAAATACATAAAATTCCTTTTTGAGATTAAAATAAAGTTAAACATGATTTAAAACACCATTACATTTCAGTTCAACTGCAGTCTGCAGTCGTAACGGTTTTCGCTACTTAATTAACTTTAATCAACAAAAAATCATAGGCTTGAGTTTGTGCTGTAAATTACATATTGATTTAATTTATTTCAGCCACAGTAACGTTGCATAATAAATGACATCATAACGCACAATGCATTTACATAAATGTATATGTACATAGTAATCTTGTTTGTAGTAGGAAGAAATTTTTTGTCCAACTCTTTGCAGAAGCAATTTGAAATTAGCATTTAATTGTTAATGGCTGTTGTAAAAAACGTGCCGATACTTACAAAGCAAGCTCTAATAGCCGAGGAAAACATTACCCAGTGTCGTTAACTCTTTATTTAATTAACTAACATATGAAGCGAGTAAGGTCGTGAGAAAACTTTCGGATTTCAACCATTACTGAAGTTTTCTTCACAATTAAGAGCATTTATGGAAGGTTAAACTTCGATAACGATTCTTTATAAAGCCATACATATACACACGCCAATATTCCACGGGAAATTGCACTCGGATAAGACTTTAGTAATAAATATTTATGTTTCTGAATAGTGATTTTGTACTTTCGTTGTTCCCAATTAATGTTGTATGTATAGCGTGGGTATGTTTGCATTTGTATCTCTCTAGTTCGGTTGAAGTCACCGCTATATTTTGTTCTGCCGTAATTAAATCTGAGCAAATAGATGTTAGTACTACAGCAACACAAGGCGCTAACGCGAGGGCGCGATGGGTGAATAAATCTGGTTGTTAGCATGATTTGTTCGTCCCACACCTGCGCGCGCGCCTCTCCCGCTTCACTCATTTATTATTCAAGCGCATCTGTTTTCATTGGCAATTTATCGCTTTATTTAATAGTTCGATATAGATGTACAGATAAATCGACGTGGGAACATATTGACGCGTTTCATCAAACTTTATAACTTGAAATGCAAAAACTGGTTCGCTTTTGGAAAACATAAATGGTTTCCTACGTAATTTTCCTGCTCAACAGGTTAGTCTTTTGTCTGCGTTTACGCATGTCCTTTTAGAGAGATCCAGACAGACTGGTTTATCAACGCTCAGCTTAAACACCTGGGCCTTGATTGTGAAATCCCGGAATAAACTCATGTTTCTTTTTGTTTCGATGTAATATTCGTTCTAGATTTTAGTTTTGTGTAATAAATTATGATTATACACTAAAGAATTTTTAAGGCTATTGATAAGTTTATTGAACTTATTTGGATGGTTAATGAATCTTTATGTGATGTGAAATTATATGATACCTATTATACATGTCCCCAATTGTCTCAATATATTGTAAAATGACAATGTTTTATTATTCACAGCTGTCAGAGGAAGTGCAAAGGAAACAGAGCGAGTACCAAAAATGCCTCGAGTCTTACAAGCAGATGAGGGCCAAGTTCGAGGAGAACTACCTTAAATGTAAGACAATATTTTTATGTAAAATACACAGAGCAGTGGTTTTTTTTCTAATCATAACAATACGGTAGTTTCCAACTATGTGTTACTCAATATTTTTATCCGAATGTCAAATTCGTATGAAACTGCAAGTTATGATGTATTTTTGGATCAAGTAGCTTACTTATGTCTTAATAGTTAGCTGATAATTATCTAAAATTTAGTGTTTCGACAGATCAATGAATAAAAGTATAGTTATTTTTTGCAATATTTTATTGTATTGAAACATCGAATTAATATATGTTTGACCTATAAAACTACCTAATTCATATATCTCGCTCAATACTTTCCAGGTCCCACAAGCCGAGGCGGTCGGAAGCTGGATGAGACCCGTGACAAATACGGCAAGGCTTGCAGACGGTTACATAGGGCTCACAATGAGTATGTGTTACTGCTGGCTGAGGCTACGGAGTGCGAGAGGGCACTGCGAACTGCTGCGTTACCGACACTCTTGGACCAGCAGCGTCGTCAGGGAGAGGCTACTGCCACGTCTTGGTAAGATTGCTATAACTGCACGGTTAGGGCATTTGCTAGGTAACCGCCATCTGTGAAATGTCTAGATTAATTCATTACGTTGTGTTTCGACGTGTGAGTGTGGTTACCGAAGGCCCAACCCCGTCCCAGTAGTTTGTTGACTTATGACATTACAAAAAAGGTGTGATCCACAATTTGTTGTTTCTGGTCTGATTTTGACTATTATGTAAATTGTATATTACATGATATGAAAACGAGAAGAAAATTCTAATGCTGGCTAAAGTTTTTCTGTAGAAGGAAAAAAAGTCTCATTTGAACATTCACCCGTCTTCTGGATAGAATCAGATTTACAGGTGATATGGCATAAGAAACACTTTAGTGCTACCAGCTCTTAGTGGTACGGTAATAGGTTTAAAATGTAGGTACCTAAAGAAACAATGTTTCCTTTTTGAAAAAATCGGGATACTAAAGACAAATAATAGAAATTATCTAAGTACTTACGTCATCTTAATTGATTATCAAGTAAAATAATAAATTATGATCATATATCGTCGTGTAGCGTTCGAAACACAATTAACAGAATTCAGCATACATTTATCTCTTGCAAAATTGTTCTCGATTTCACCTTCAATAATCCGTTTTAATATTCAAAATTGCATTTTACCTTCTTCTGAGACAATTTACCTAGATTATTATTGGCACAAGTCTAATTGCGATTTCCAACATCAACATTCGATATTATATTCGATTCAGTTTAGAAAGTTTACTGTTTATACAGTCCCATTCTTTAGCATAAATAAGTCTAGTTAATATAAGTGCGCTTAGATCTTATGTATTTCAATTTGAAAGGATTCATTATCACCGGCTAATGAGCTCATTGCTCTAAATGTAGATTCTATAATTATTTTCCTGCTTGTGCACATAATGAAGAGCGTATTAATAAACGATTCTAAGCTTATATTATTTGATAAGGACAGTTAAACAGAAGTGTTTTGCCACTCCATGGTAGATAAAAATCTATTGATAAATTGTTAATACGATGAATCTCTTGATACAAATTGATTATTTAAGCGATAAAGTTTGAAATGCAACGCTTTCTGACTGACTTGTGCATTTTAGATAATAAATATAAGATATGATCAATTTAGATAAACAATAAATATACATAGAATGCTAGATTGCAAAGATACTTAGGTAGGTATTCTTGTCATTCATCTGATTATCGAAGTCAGGGTGTTAGGTAACACTTGTAACGAATAAAAACTACAAGCGAAGCAAGAATACTAATACAAACATAGTCAACAGAATACAGAAGGTTTCGAAAACCTATGAAATTTGTTTTGTTTTGTTTTGATACTATAGGTAAGTATTCCAATAATGTCTCATACTTGGATACTGCATTATTTAGATTTATTCCAACATAAGGTTCACTCCTGTGTCGTGGATGCGACACACACCCAGACTCGGAACAACAATTTGTGGATCACACAAAGACTTGTTCTGTGTGTTCATAATTTTTCTTTAGATTTATTTTACTCATTTTCTTTTTAAACGTGGTTATATCTATGTCTAAGTTGTTTTTAATTCGTGCAACTTATGACTCAGATGTTCAATGTAAATTGTTGAACCTAGAAATATTGAAAATATTATTTCTTACAGGAAAGGCGTGCTTCTGGAGGTTGTGCAGAGGTCAGACTTCAGCACGGACAAGTTCAGGGAGATCCAGACCAAAATAGAGACCACGATACAGAATCTAAGGCCACAGGATGAATATAAAGAGTTCATTGAGAAGTACAAGTAAGTATCAACACATAGTAGTCACAATTTGATCCCTATTTTGTTTTAGAAAAAACTTGATTCTGGGGTATCGACTTTTTGAGATATGTTACTTGATTTGTGTTTTTGAGACGCAACTGTAACTGACTGACCGGTGACTTCAAAATAGTTAAGTTAAACATTATCAAGAGTTCATGACAGTTCAAAATTTAAGGGGGCAGGAGAATGAGTGGGTTTGTTTTAAGTCAACAAGAGCATTCTCCCACAACTTTTCACCCTGCCCAGAATAGGAGAAGTCATTTGATGATGTGCCCCCTAAATAGAAAAGATAAGGAGCCGCTAGTCTGCGTTGTCCTGAGGTTTAATACTCTGTCTCTGTTTAACTAGCCTTGTCTAGCTAGACACCCGCGGCAAGAAAACGGCTTAATAATAGATACAAACCAATACAAAATTTCAATTTAATTAAATCAAAGAAACTATTCAATTTGAAACTTATTGTAAACTAGACCAAACATCCTAATACCTAGTAGATAGGTAGGTAACTATTAAATAGCAATAAAACTTAATATCGTAGAGCAAATTGACGGTCACGACTGAAGAATACACTAGGAACGATGAATGTAAATAATTTCCCATCAGAGTTATTAACATTTCGCAATTATATTTTTGTAATAGGTAGGTAGGTTTCATTTTTACGTGTCATTCTCGAATTTCAATCAACGGTCAACGGTAAATGTGCAGCATCATGAATTATCATCAGTCCACTCCACGGTAGAAAGTAAAATGATATCTAGGTACCGTATACTTTCGACTTGGCAATTTTTGTAGCGTAGCAGCCGTGTTGTGGCGGTAAAGTGGAATATATTTGTCACCGTCCGTGTGTATAGAGCCGACTTTGGAACTTCGTTTTTAATAGACAATAGATTACTAGCGCTTTCATATGACCAGGAAATCTTACAAACTGCGATGTTCAACCCACCTGGTTAGCGTGGAGATTAAGGCTTTTTACTTAGGTATAGTTGAGCAGTGAAATTTCTCGGTTTTCGATAATACCTTATACCTCCCGTCCTATTTCATCTAGAGCGTCTGTGATGTTGGTTTCGGCCCCTCACAGTTCACACGTCTTCCAAATCACCGGGATCCGTTGGTTTCGCGGTTGGTAAATCTACACAATAAATATTTTATTGGTGTAATACTGTGAATAGATATATAGGTAGGCAGATAGATAGCATACATAAATTACGGTGTAAAATAGACGCAAACAGTTGCAGTCTGAAGTTTTGTTCCTAGAATAGTAGTTACTATATTACAATGCTAGTTGTAGCATTGTTTGCTGACTATGCTGTGATAAAAAATATGATACCTATAGGTAAGCACATAGCTTATGTTTAATACACGTATGCCATACGATTAGAACTTAATTTTCGTACCTCTTCCTAATTATGATAAAACTCAAAATAAAAACTATAACATGGACATGGGTGTATAAGTAGTATTGTCTTTTGAACTAACCCAACTGCAATTCTCAGTAGTGGACATTATCTCTTCAGTCTTCAACGTCTCTTATGAAGACTAATCCAACAACTGGGCAGGTGACGTCAATGTGGGACTACTTCCGAATAAAAAATGACATTTTCATCGTTATAATGATGACGAACAAATAATTTAAGATTTCGTGAAAGTGAATGCCAAATTCAATGCGTGTTAATGACTAAACTTTTAATTTAGGAACGATTTTTAAAAAGTAATCGTTGACAATGAACATGAGCGATGCGTCGAAGGCTTGAAGGTAAGGCACGATGAATCAGTGGTAGTCAGGAACTTACCGTTACTTTCAAAGGCCTTGTTTGAGTTATTTGAGGCCGTTCAAAACTTAACAATATTTCATAAGTAGTTTTGTATGTTATTCTAGCATCCCGGCCAGGCTTTGAACTGGATTGACTTAATGGATGTGACACATATACACCTTATTCTTCCTCTTCAATCAATCTATGAAAAAAAACACATCAAAATACCGTTGCGCAGTTTTAAAGATTTACTTAAGCATACATAGGGATATAGGGACAAAGAAAGCGACTTTGTAATACTATGTAGTGATAATACCCTCGAGAAATTAAAAAAAATATTGTTAATATGGTTGATCTAATTAATATTAAAGGTTTTCCCGTCCCACGCCATTTGTCATCAAGCAAAAAAATCGTAATCGGTTCGAAATTCAACACCTGTGTGTGGATTCACTGCCTAAACACGGAAATTAGGAATTCGCTTATCCTTCTTATAGATAAACAAGGATGAAGTAATCACGCATTGACAAAACTTAGCTTCCAACATTAAAATGACGTTATCCATTCGTCAAATGAAATTCACAATGAGCACTATCGATTCGTATTTTGGAAAAATGCAGGTAATTCACCAGAACAATGGTATTGTAAAACCCATATTGGTGAATGGAGAAACGATAACAAGTATTCGATTCTAAAACCACAAAAGCGGTAATTTACCAACCAAACCACATAATGACGTCATACTTAAGATTGTCTCAACGCTTACGTTACGGTATGCATTTGCTTAATATTGAAAATGCCTTAAGTTACCGTCAATTGGTTAATTACCTGTTTTTATATTAAAAACGAATAATGTTGTTCTAATGAAAGTTGAATGCTGAATTATGGAGATCCATCCATCTAATGGCCCAGATGGTCCTGGTCCATTAGATGATTTTTCCTCCACAAAAAGGCGTCCTGACTTTTTGGCCGACTGTCCGGTGAAAACTACAAACGTTTTGATATTTGCTCGGATCGAGATTTACTTTCACATATAAATTACTCTTAATTTAATCAAAAGGGAACTAAAGGTAAAAGAAAAATCCTTAAAGAAATGAATTCTAGAATAGGTGTGTATAACATGATGTTCGTATGACTCAGTAACACTAATGCGTAAATTATTAAAACCGCGTGGAGATCTGCGGGGACGAATATTAATTTATAAAAAGTATTTTTAATGTTGTTTTCCTCTTGATAGTTGAGAAAAGTGTGTAAAAAGTACCTCATCCCATTTACAAGGTAATAATGAAAACTCGTTTTTGTCATCTTTTAGCAGCGCGAACCTATAATCAATGAAAAAAAAAAAAAAAAAAAAAAAAAAAAAAAAACGCGCCTGTGACTTCTCTGGTACCGCAGGTGTTCATGAGCGGCGCAGATCACTTACCATCAAGTGATTCGTCTGCTCGTTTGCCTCCTATTCCATAAAAATCTGAGGCTTAAATTGGAGCAACTAATAAGTTACTTACCTGTTTTTATGTCATACAGTCAACTATTTATATCTTAAATTGGGTTAACTAAAGATGTGCTACTACTATTTTCGATTGGTTTGGTAAAATAATGTTTGTCATACCTATTCTTTCTGCGCTTATTGTACGAGGTATGAGAGACTCTTGGAGACTTCACGTTAGGATAGACTGGGAGATAAAGATTTGTAAATTCAGTAAATATGTTCTATTTCAGATCACCGCCTTCAACACCTGTCACCTTTAACTTCGATGAAAGCCTAGTCGAAGACACGAGTGGAAAACTGCAACCAAACCAGTTGACTGTAGACAATCTGACGGTGGAATGGCTGAAGGAGAAATTGACAGAACTGGAGAACACGCTACAAGATAACCGGGAGAAGCAATCAGCTCTGCAGGGACCCGAGATCATTGGAAACGGAGTTTGCAAGAATAATAATACTGGACTCACTAATGGAGTTAATGGTATTGATAGGTGAGTTGTAAACAGGAAACAAAATAAAATTGATGAATGCTTTAATGAAATGTACAAGAAAAGAGACACTGGCTCATCCGTAAATGTCCATTCGACTCTTATCTTCCTATGCTCTCTGTTTAGTAAAAAATATGATTCAATTTGTCTTTTTGTCATTTCATAGGCATTCTCCGCCACCATTACCAGTGACGACCTCCGAGCCCATAAAACTTCTGGAGCTCCGAGTAGCGGAACGCAAATGTGCCAAACAAGCAGAGATGATCCGGTCAGCCCTGGCTGAACTAGGCTGTGAAGAAGCACCCAGTGGTTGCCCTGATCTATCTGCTGAGACTGTGGGCGTTGACAGTCTGGACGGCAGCTCTCCTGACCATCAGGTACGTTTACTGCATGTTTCTTTGTAGACAATAATTTAATACTTATTGATGACGAGTAGAAGAATGTAGCGGTGCTGGTTAGCTATTCATTATAGACAACAATAGTTATTGGCTTTGATAATGATAAAATTCGATTATCAGGATCGCTCCTCAATCGGATCCAAGGCGTCGACAGACGTTCTAAGATTGCATCTCCACTCGATAATACCACCGAAGCCCTTCTTCAAACTATTCACGCGGCCGTTCCGACGCAAATCTGCGCCTTCCAGTCCGGCGCTACCACCCAAGACGTATAGAAGCAGCAGTGAGGGCCCTGCTGACTCGGTAATCATACCACATCGCAGAAGGATCAGAGTCCTGAGGCATCGCTTTCGCAAACGTGTGGATATCTATGTGCATTGCCGAGTTCACAACAAAACGCTCTTCAAAAAGAGGAAACCGAGCCGCGTTGTAGTCGATAGTTGTTCTAACAGTGTGGTGAGTGCCACTAACCGAGACATCCCTCACCCACGCATGGCATGGAATTAGTTCGATGCATGAAGCTTTCATCTTCCACGACGCCACTGGAAATGGCACGATTAATTCGCTCTGAAACGAGCCTCAGTCAAAACGTGTCAGTGCTAATTTTAGCGCAAACACTTCACGTCACCGTGCACCGCACGAACTTCTGTCGGGAATGAGATTTCAAATAAAATGAAAATAGCACGGGCTCTCCTTAAAACTCAGTTTCAAAATCAAGGTGAAGCCGCTTGCGACGTTCCAGAAATGAATCGATGTTTACGTGTGGACTGTGTACGCTTCAGTCGTGAGGTTTACGTCAAGTTCACCCTGTTTCTGGTAACGTTCGCAACGTGCGGTCAAATAAAAGAGATAGTAAAGTAGTGTCGGTGTGTTTTGCGGTGTTGTGAAGCTGATTAGTTTGAGTAATGGACGTAATGGATCCGTTCTCGATGTACATCACGCACAGCGAACTGCCACCGCCGGTCGTCGTGCCTCGTAGGAAGAAGAGACTGAAGCAGCTACAACTTGAACTTGAGAAAGAGTTAGAACTAGAAGTATGTTACAGCTTATGGATGTTACGTGTTTGTTTGTCGTGTGTTTTTGTCGCATTATGTAATTAAGTAGGTGAGTGCATGTGCATCGCGTGCTGTTGTTTTTTTTCTTGATGAGTTTGATCGTGTTTACTAATCGGCTGTAAACAATTAGCAGATTTTTTCTTAGCTTATTGATATTATTAAAGAAGTAAAGTCGTTTACAACAGCTAATTAATTAATTTTGTTGATAGTTGTCAATCATACTCAAATATTATTAGCCATCAAATTAAATAAATAAAATCGTAAAAATTAAATGAGTCAGTCAGAGTGTGTCAAGCAAAGCAAGGCATAACTATTTACTCTTTTCCTTACTCATCGGTGTTTCTTCTAAAAGATCTCGTCCTTGACATCGTCACCGACTTTCATTATACCTACCTACATATATTTATTAATATCTCTGTTTTCTCAGGTGAGTGTGAGCGAGACAGAGAGATCTTTGGTGGAACAGGAGTGGTTCCATGGAGTGTTACCACGAGAAGAGGTTGTGAGGCTTTTGAGGGCAGATGGAGATTATTTGGTGCGGGAAACTACGAGGAATCATGCGAGACAACTGGTGCTGTCTGTGTGTTGGGGCCAACACAAACACTTCATTGTGCAGACGACACCTGAGGTATGTACAACTGTCAAAATGATCATATCCTTCAGCCAGTTTCAGTCCATTGTTGGAAAAAGGACTTCTCAAAAGATATCCAACCTTCACAAGCAACTTAACGGCCATTATAACTTCGTAACATCATCTTAGTAATGCAAAGAAAGATATATGTAGTTAGTAACTTCTCAACAATATACTTCGGTTCACTTAGCATAACTCGTTGCCACCGCTTTTTTAAGATCTTCCGAATTCCTATGCTCTTGGCCAGTCTAGATTCGCTAAGCGGTTTGGACAAAAAAATGTCTTACAAAAAATGTTACTTGTTACACCTGTTATTTGGGACGTTTTTTGCTAGTATACTTAGACGTACGGACCTGACAATTGCTATGAAAGATTTGAATGTAAAGTACCTATGTAACATTTTAGTGAATCGATATTTGTAAAGGTTTTGGATAATACTTAATATCTATTCCGTATGAAAACCTACTGGTCAGTGCTATCCTTAATTCGCTGGTATAAAATACACGTGGTTGCCCACGTGTATTTTATAAGTTAAGTTGCGTAGGTTAAATAATTATGAAGTCTGGTCTACTGGGTCGCAATATATAGTAACTAGATCGATATATGGTAATTGATAGGAATATAAAGCTTTGCAAAATTGCACTGTTACTAGGAGGCAATTATACTAAGAAAGCTAATGTGCAATCAAAAATCAGTACTTATACTTTTTATGACTTATGAATCATAAATGAAATAGCATAGTTTCAATTAATAAATCTTTACAATTCTCAGAAGTTACTTCAGTTTAACGATTGAATAATAAACTTTATGAGAATTTAAGAACATTATAAGGTCAGTTGTGATCCATTCCACTTAAAGGATATTCTATTAAAATGATTCATTAATTAAGTTTTATATTTCGGCTTCCTTGTTGTTGTTCTGCGGAAACTAAAAGGAGGACAACTTGTGGAATATTGTTGAATTAATTTTAATAACTCTAGGATTAGAGAAAAGACAAATACAGACTTATCCATGGCATAGCTAGACGCAAGGCACGAAAGCCAGAGGGGATATGTTTTTACCAATACAAATAATAAGTTGTAGAATTTTGTAATACATTACGTATATCTATTAACGTAACGAATGCGTCATAAGTGACGGAAGCTGTATCACTTGGCAAAAGAGATTCTAAAATAGTTACGTGTTAATCAGCTAACAAATTCCAGTAGAAAGTACCTAACTATTCAAGAAAGGAAACGTATACTGTAGGTAGGATACCAATTACCTAACTATCTGTAGACACAAAATTAATTTCCAAAAAACGCTTTGTAGCGACGACGACGTGTTAATTCATAAATATAAGGATATTTCAACCTCAACCTTTTCTTCTTCGTAATCAAAATAATGCTTTTATTTTTTAGGGTCACTACCGTTTTGAAGGAGCAGCGTTCCCTTCAGTGGCGGAGCTGATAGCGTGGCAGAGGACAAGTGGAGTACCCGTCACTGCTCGATCGGGAGCCCTGCTTCGACGCGCCGTGCCGCGGGAGAACTGGGAACTGAACAATGACGATGTACAACTACTGGACAAGATTGGACGAGTAAGTTTGATTATCGGTATTATCACTACATACAGTAGCTCCGGCCCGCGTATACTACGCGATGATAAAAAAACAATTCATGGCTCCTACATACCAAATTTCATCCAGATTGGTTCAGTCGGTTTTGCGTGAGAGAATAACAAACGTATACATCATACTATATGACATCCATACTATGACACACTTTCATATTTATAATATAGTACCTGCACCACGTTTCTTCATAGTAGCTCAATATCCTTTTATTTTCATTTGTTTTTTGGCTAGATTATTTTGATGATTAGATGTTATTTTGGACTTCTGGTTATTTTGTAACGTTGTGTTAGGAATTAAGACGTAGCTTTTCCTATCTTCCGGACATACACAGTGTATCAAACCCAAGATATCCTTGACATGCAACATTTGAAAAACTTTGAAGTTTTACTTTTCTTAATTCAAGGAAAACTCAAGTAGTTGTAGGCACATTAACCCAAAAAAATTAATAGAAACCAAGCTTTTAGTAATGACTATTATTTTGTAATAAGTTTTCAACTTAATTAATTAATAAATAAAGTATTAAATACATTGATCATCGTCTATATTATATACTTGCTCGTTTACTCGGCGTTTCTTTACTAATTAAAAGCTAGGTTACTTTACAAGCTTCTAGGAATCAGGTCTATTGTTCTCTCGGACATTATGACACAATCAATAAGGTGCATGCCATTACGTGTATATGTTTGTTCACAATAGCTGTTTGATTCTTTCGATATGAAGTTTACTGTGTGCGTCACAGGAAATTTGATGCATTGAATAATAGTTTATTTCAACTCTTGTAGATAAGCAACAATTCGTACCAACGCGTTTTGGTAAATTACATACCTACGCCATTGGGTAGTGCTACGAAATAAAACGCTGTGTTTGTTTCACGCCAGTTATTGATATCAAGCTGGGTGAGATGGCCCATTCATGAAGAAACATGGCGCTCTCTCGCTTTAAGCATTTGTTAGTTACATACCTTTTCATTATTCCACGAATTTTGACTTAATATTGTCTATCTTTTGAACAGGGTAACTTCGGGGACGTGTACAAGGCTCGACTGAAGAGTACAAATCAGGAGGTGGCAGTAAAGACCTGCAGAGTGGCGTTACCAGACGAGCAGAAACGGACCTTCTTGCAGGAAGGCCGCATCCTCAAGCAGTACCAGCATCCGAATATTGTGCGGCTTATAGGCATAGCTGTGCAGAAGCAGCCCATCATGATCGTCATGGAGCTTGTTCCTGGTGAGACTTTTGTTATAAAGTTATATTAAGAATTAATTAAAGTGTGGTAGAGCCATGATTCGGCACGAATGGGTCGGCTCGAACGAAGTGATACCACGGCCTCACAGAAAACCGGCGTGAAACAACCACAGTGTTGTGTTTCGCCGTGTGAGTGAGGTTACCGAAGGCCCAATCCTTCCCTTCCCCCAATCCCTCCTCAATCCCTGAGTCTCCAAATCCCTTATCCCTAAAAGATCGGCAACGCTCTCGTAACTCCTCCTTTGCGGGTGTCCATGGGCGGCGCTGATTGCTTACCATCAGGTAATCCGTCTGCTCGTTTGCCGAACTATTACCTACATAAAAAAAGTGTTTATTCAGGTACGGAATAGATTACTCAAACTATTAGAAGGCACGTAAATGAAGAAATGTTTAAGATGGTTAGTTAATACCAAGCTTTCAGATAGATTTTAATTTCAGATTTAAAATCAAAAGACACATGACTCATAGGTACACAGGTATCTAATACAAAGTTTATGTTGTTTATACCAGTTCAGATTGACGTGTGTTTTCGAACATTGTCTCATGAATTTTTAGTTTTATTATCTCGGTTAGTTGATCTCGTTTTATGGTTCAGTAAATGATACACAGACACCAAGCTTGTTGTAAATATTATGTGCCTGCTTTTGCTTATAGAAGTCAATGACGCGATATAGATAGAGATCTAGTTTAAAAATGTAGAAGTTTTTTAAAACCCATACTTTTCTTTCTATTAACTACGTAGTACTAAGAATTACTGACATGCATCCAGGTCTGGTGCATTTTTGTAATGACCTAACGAAGTACTTGCTTACGCCTATCTACCTCACAAATATAAGTAGATATATAGTACCAGAAAGATTTCATTTTAAAATCTCTTTCGAAGTTGCACATTACACATACATAACCTTTGCTAATTTTATACAAATATTGTTGTGTAGGTCGCCAAAATTGAATAAACATGAGTGTCATCTCTTTTGACTGTGAGTTATAAAAATACATAGCTATGCATTTATTTTTACAATGTCTTGCGTCATAAGTGGCATAAATTAAAAGTCTTTGGTTTCGTCTACATTCCACGGTGTGTGGACAGAATTTCCTCTTGACCTAGTTTTTTGGTAATAAGCTGACTGTTTCTTTGGTTGAATGCTGGGTATGATGGTACCTATGGCTTGAATGTTGGCGAAGTGGTTGGCCAACCTACAACAAAAACTACCTAAGTGTATTACAATTCGTTGTTCCGGGTTTAAATGTGGCCTATATTATCAATGGTTGATGAAGTAGCATTTCGAATTTGTATCACATATATTTAGCAAGGGCCTTATCTTTTTGGACAACAATATGTTGTTGTGATTAAATACCTAATACCGTTTTAAGTAGGTAATTACCGTAAGATTTGTTGGATTTTTCCATTTATTTTACCTCATATTGAATGTTAAATTCATGTGGTCAAAGTGAGATGCTTGACTAGGTACCTACCTATTTTTTGTAGGAGTTAGTTATCCACTGTTTAGTATCACTGACTAATCCAAGTTAGAAATAACTATTTACGCAACAGCACCTAAGTATAGTTTATCTTGGTGTGTCATGAGGATGTTTGTGAAATCCGCTAGCATGGGTGCGTGGGAGTCCAGACCCATTTTGTTGTTTTGAAACATGCGTTGAAATGTATCTTACCAGTACCACCTTCATTCGCTTTTAGAATAGATACATGTGGCCGTTGATAGGATTTGCTTGTAATTAAGTAACGTGTTATTGATGCTGTTTATTGGTTATTAAATAAGGGCTGTGGATGTAATGAACCAATGCTCATTTATCTAATGATGTTGAATAGGTATTGAGGGAAAGATACTTACATCTAAGTAGGTATGCATTTCTCGTTAAAGGTGAAGCGAAGCGAACAGTCTCACTGAAACACTGAAAGGTTTTGAATTCGCCGTTTAGATGGCAATAGTGTTTATCTGCCTGCGTTCTTAATTACGTAAAGCTAAATGTCGTTCCAGAATCTTCGGCATTGTTAAGATTATTTCAGACACGTTGAGCACGAAAACGCAACGGTTTTTTATGATACTTTTTAAGTAACATACAATTGTTTTCGTTATTGGATGAATCATTAAATCATATCAGTCATTATAAAACATATAAAATTGTTTTAAGTTATCTAAGTCAGTCATTAAGACCTTGGTACTTACTTAGTACCTACTTATCAAGGTACTTTTGTGATCGTCACACTTTATTTCTTCTTCTCAGGTGGTTCCCTCCTCACATTCCTTCGTACGCGAGCATCATCATTGAGTTCCCGTTCTTTGCTGGCAATGTGTCGAGACGCTGCTGGTGGAATGCGCTACCTGGAGTCCAAGAACTGCATCCATCGTGACCTCGCAGCCAGGAACTGCCTCGTGGGAGACGATAACATCGTCAAGATATCAGACTTCGGCATGTCAAGAGAGGAGGAGGAATATATCGTGTCGGGAGGCATGAAGCAGATACCCATTAAGTGGACTGCGCCAGAGGCACTTAATTTCGGTAAGTTTCCAATTTATGAATGAATAGCGCTATTTAGGAATTGTAAGCACCTTGTAGGGTTGTAGGACCTCATAACTTATTTTTTGCACTATTACTCTTGTGAGAAATATTAAATTACATATTTACGTTATAGTTTACTGAAGTATACTAAAAGAATATATAATAAAGTATACTATATCACGAGACTACTGTAACTCGATTAGTTTTAAGCCAGGCTAGGAGCTCATATTTATGAGCAACGATCCGCTTCAGGACGTTCATTAAAGAGAATCGAACATTCTTATAATAATAGATAATATTGATTGGATTCAAATTGTATCTACATATATTTATACCTAGATATTTGATTATTTCACTATTATTTTCTGTTTTCTTTCAGGCAAATACACATCGCTATGTGACGTGTGGAGTTACGGCGTGCTGATGTGGGAGATATTCTCTAAGGGCGATACTCCTTACGCAGGCATGAGCAACTCACGAGCACGCGAGAAAATTGACACAGGTAATACGAAATAAAAAAATAATAATATGAAGAGTCCTCTTCCTTTCAAAAAGATGATGCAATAATACAGTTTGCTACATATAAGCTACCTTCACTGTACTCGCCTGCTGGTAAGCGGGAAACGTTAGATAACGTTGCTCTTGCATACATCAGACGTTAGGTCTGTACTAACAAGTGTCGGTACTTAGGTTATGGTGACCACCTATTCTTCCAGGATGACCTTAACTTTTTAGCTATAATACCGAGAGTGGAATAAAAAAAACCGTTTTTACTTATCTCTTTATTCGTTTTCTCCAGGTTACAGAATGCCAGCGCCCGAAGGCTGTTCCGAAGACGTATACGCTCTAATGTTACGCTGCTGGGAGTACGAGGCTGAAAAGCGACCACACTTCCACCAGATATACACCATTATAGACAATATTTACAATAGGTAACACTGTTGGGATAATGTCATGTGCTCTATTTATGTACGCCATCTTGTTTTTCAACCCTAGGTCTCATCGAAGTAAGAAATTTTTGACGAACCAAAGCTGCGTCTACTATATCACTGATAAGGTTTCTATCTGTGTTAATATAGTCAATTAGTGATAAAACGCATTTATTTCGACAGCCGACTTGAAAGAACAGTTTAATAAAAATAAGTGCCTATCTAAAATGAAAAAAGAAAGGACACATTATTGAAAAAAAACTTCGAAACCATCTAGACTTCAAAAAAACGTCTTCTGAACGAAAACCTTAATCTACGCGTTAGCATAACCAGGGTTGCGATATTAAAAAAAAAATGTTATTTGAAACATTCATAATAATAAAATTATAAATAATTATCTATGAAAAATAAATATACTTTACTCATTTTCCACTACGCAATAGGCAACTGAATTTTGTATAGTTTTTAAGGTTTGTTATATACTTATGTTAGATATGTGTTAAATAATAAAACTGTACTTGTATGTGGTGACTATATCTTTTTGTATAATAAATGGATGTGTTGAGATATCTAGAAGAGATAACAGGGGGTCTGTAGTAGATTAAAAATAATTTAACTACACCGAAAAGTACCTGTGCGTAATTCGATGAAAAAATTTGGTTTTATTAATAATTTATTATAATGAGGGGGCCATGTCAGAATAGACATTATGAAGGCAAGTTATCATACAGTTGGTAACTATTGAAATGAAATGTGCTGTTAACATTTTGCCCTCATAAGAAAAACGTTAACAGTAAGTATATCTGCAGCTTAAATCTTTAAATGAAAAATCATTGCAATCTTTTCTATTTTCTATGTTTAATATACAAATTCCACATTAATCGCCTATAGAATAAATAAACATTGGTCTAATTTTATAAAGTGTGTGGGGAAGAAAATTTTAGATTTCCTCTGTTGTTTCTTCTAGTATTATACTTATAAGAGCTAGACAGTGTTCTTTATAAGTAATTGAAGTGTTGATCTCTTACGAATGGTACTTTAGCGATAGAAGGAAATAATAGTATATAAGTACAACATATTATATCAGTTCTGACTGACATATCTACGTATATTTTGTATTCAAGTACAATGTTAAGCATAAATAAAATTAGTTTATGTACCTATATGAAAAATAATTTGTTTTTGTAAAGTATAGCATCGAATGATAGATATAATTTAGACGTTGTAGACGTTTTAATAATTGTAATATTGAGGTACGGGATAGGCGTGGATATAAAACCTTTTTGGAATCAGCCTACCGTCCTGGGCAACTTGTTTTATGTATAACTAGGTGGTATATAAAGAGTTATAACATTGTAATTTGAGTAGTAATGAATAAAGTCAATTATGTATTATTAATTTCAGGATATATGCAAAATCAGAAGAAAATATTATCCATCCTTGAATAGGGCTTCCATACTTTCTGAACATTTGATAAATGAGTATTTATGTAAGTAGTTTTTAATTATGATAGATATAACTACTGGCAATAAAGGACATGTTTGTGATATCTTTAATGCTTCCACAGAATAGTGTAACAATATATTTAGTTTAAGTATTGTAATGTTTATCTCTTGCCTAGTATAATTGCATGTTATTATTAATTGATATTTTAACACAAAGTGAGATATAAATGTATAGGCAGTCTAGTATTTTAATTGAACACTATATTAAAACTATGTAAATATATTTCGTACAACATTAAAGTGCCAGACATTTTTGAATTTGATTTTTCCTTATTCCCAGCCGCACTAGAACTTGTGAACTGTACCGCGTAAGATTTAGTTGGCTTAACGTAAATTAAAATTGTAATTCTGTGAAAAAAAAAGTATTTTTTTTTCACAGAATTTATGTTTTTTGCCATAGGCGAATAATAAATTATAGCGAAGCAATCGGCCCATGGATGCTCGTAATACCAAAGGAGTTACAAGTGCGGTAGCGGCCTCTCGTGGGTTATTACGAAATTAAGGATATTGAGGATGATTGATTGAGCATGGGTTAGGGTTGGGCGGGTCTCTGGTAAACTCACTGACACGGCGAAACAATGTAAATGTTGTTCCACGCCGGTATTCTGTGAGTCCGAGGTAGCCCTTCTGTTGAGCCAGTCCATTAGTGCCGAAGCATGGCTCATAGATCACCCACACTCTAAACATCGAAGTACCGAACCCATATTTTTTTAATTGTCTTCACTTTCGCTATTGCAAATGAAACAAATTTGGAATAGTTATAAATTAAGTTTATTGTACACAGAGATATTTACAAATACAGCTTCATAAGTTCGTCACTAACTGCCGATGGCGATAAAATTCCTAGATCGGTGAACAGCAGGGTAATATATACAGGGGGCGTGTAGTCAACTAGGGGGTGTTCTTTCGAGAGGTCTTTACCAGACTTTATGACACTTGACAAATATTTGAACTCATTTGGTAAGTCTTTCTCATTCAGAGGGTATATTCTGGAGAATTTAAAGCTCTCTGTCAATACAAACACTGGTTTCTTCAGTTCATAGGCCGCTATACCTAATGAGTAGGTTCCGATCTGAAAAAATAAAAAACGACGTATAACTATCTCTTTTCGAACAGATAGGCGACTTATTACAGAGAAAGTAAAAAAAATCATTAACAGAAGAGCAAGTATGAAGAAATTAATGAATGAATAGTTAGAGGGAAAAGATCATCGTCATCAGCGGTGGCTATGACGAGGTTCGCCAGATCCCGGCTATTTATTTCCTGGACACTTATACATTCACGAACGGAATCAGTAGGTGTATGAGTAAATTACATAAATCACGATTGAAAAAAAAAATCTTGTAATGGGATTATAAGACAATAAGATCCAAAATACGCTTTTTTAAATGTGACTTTAGTATTGTTAATTGTTTTTGGCTTATAGCTTTTGCAACCAAAGTATAGTAACTTTAAAAAATAAACTAGAATTTCTTCATTCCGGGACACTCCCCAACCACCTGGTAACCCTAGCTGTGGCACCGTGACTGTGTGTGGTAATGGACTGTAGGCTTTAAGCCTTTTAGCTTCGTTTTAGTATTTTTCTTACTAACTATTTAGGAGAAATAAATCCCGCAAAAATGCTAACGCCACAATTTAAATTTAAAGGTAAGAATCATTTTTGGCATTTGAAAACAGTAACATTGCTATTTGTTGGTTCAGGTGATCAAAGAGGAAATTTACCTTATTAATAATACCACCATTTTCAGTGACCCCCTCAGCACCCAGCAGGACCAAGTCCACCTGTTCCATAATATAGCCGACCGCTGCATCCAAAATGAGGGTCACATCTATACCAGCTTCTTCTAATTGCTTCTGCATAAGTAAACTGGAATTTTAATCAAATTATATATTAGGTAAATCATTTTATGTAAGAAATCACTTAAGTTGTGCACTTTTTTTTTTTTTTTTTTTTTTTTTATTCTCTGTTTTAAGGGCTTTATCGCTGAGCGATAACGTCACCCTGTAACATCAACAAAAATAGTTACTAACTAAAATTACAAAGGATGTATAAATTACATATCTACTTCAATACAAAAAATGCCAGTTTATATAGGTTTCTTGCCTCTTCTGAAAAAGGCGAAGCCAGGATAGAATTACACTCTCCAACGTTGAAATTATATGCAAATCCAAATAAGTTAAGTCTTAAAGCCTCGTTCCGGACACATTCCATCAAAACGTGTTGTACGTCTTCGACTACTCCACATTCCTCACAGTTAGGAGATGTAACCTTTTTCATCAGAAAGCTAAACTTTTTTGATGGAATATGGCCGGCACGGAGTCTCAACGCCATAACTAGATCTTTTCGATTTGTTATATTTTGTTCAATCCAATTACACAGAGGGAGTTGTGGTTGGATGGTCTTGTACCATATTCCCTTTTCTATTGATCTCTGGTTAAAATATTCACTCCACATATCTAAACATTGTTGTTTTATTACTTTGATATAATCAGTAAAAAGTGGAGAAACATTCACGGGAATTCCATCAAAAACGGCCTGGTTAGCTAGTAGATCCACTGTTTCGTTATCTTCTATTTGAACGTGAGAAGGGATCCACTGTAAGACTACTGAAACTGAGTTCTGATCATATCTGAATATAGAATCCAAAATCGTGTAGGCTATCGGCACTCCTCGCACGGACGAGGTGCATCGAGCCAAGTGTTGCAGTGAGCTCTTCGAGTCTGTTAGGATGACAAACTTATCATAGTTAATTGAGTTACAATAAGAAAGAGCCTCTGCTATTGCGATTAACTCGGTATGCATAATGGAGATATCAGAGTCTATGGCAAGCTTGACAGACATGTTCATTTGCGGATCCCAAACAGCAGCCCCACAACCAGATTTAGTTTTAGACCCATCTGTGTAAACCTTGTGAAAATCAGCGAATTCTTCATCTATGAATTGCGTGCAAATTTGTTTTAACTGGTTACAATTGTAATCCCGTTTAGGTTTAGATATAGAGGGAATTTTAGTTTTAATGGTTTTAACAACATTGATGTTGCTAACCCATGTCTCAAGGGAAAACATTTCGATCAATTTAGCCGAGTGCACAGTAGCAGTTTTAAGATCGTTATAAATTGAGATCAGTAAGGGTTGCTTCCTATGTCTCCAGTAGTGAGAATTCTGAATGCTTGAAGACAATTCTTCGATCAAATTAATAGCAACACTCCCGCGTAAGGACATACATTTTAAGCAGAACTTGCCTCCTAGAAATTTTCTACGAATATGTAATGGTGGTAAACTCAATTCACTCTCCATCACGTGAATCGGAGTGCTTCTAATAAAGCTACCAATAATACGAAGAGCTTTATTCTGTACTTTATCTAGTTTAGATAAATGACATTGGTAACTACAGTCGTACAGAAAACTGCCATAGTCTAATCTGCTACGAATTATTGCGATATATAGCCTACGTAAATGTTTAGGGTGAACACCCCAACCAGGACCCGCTAGAACTTTCAAAATATTTATAAATTTTAAGACTTTTTGAACACACTCATTGATGTGTTTTCCCCATCTAAGCGACTGATCCAACCACATCCCCAGATATTTAATATTGTTTACTGCTTCTATATTACTGCCATTAATCTTCAAATTAACAGGTAGCTTACATATGCCTCTCTTAAAAATACAAACTTTAGTCTTAGTAGTAGATATTTCTAAACCTAGATTACTTACTATAGTATTAAAATCGTTCAGAGCAACTTGCAATCCCGAGACGACTGCATTGACATTGGAACCAGATTTAAATAATACAAAATCGTCAGCATATTGAGATATATCAACATTCGTAATAGTTTTACAGATATTATAAGTTGCAATGTTAAATAATAGAGGAGAAAGTGGGTCCCCTTGAGCCAACCCCCGACCTGTTGACCTGCAATATTCCTTGTTATCAATTATAATTTTAAGCATTCTTTCCGACAGAAACCTCCACAAATATACACATATTTTACGACCCACTTCAAGTTTATCAAGTATACTCAATAAACTAACAGTATCAACATTATTGTAAGCGTTGTTGATATCAATAAAACAAGCAACAGTGGCAACATTTGAAGTAAAGCCAAGTTGAATCTTTGTCGTCAAGGTATTAAGACTATCCAAACTTGACTTAGACTTACGAAAACCTATAGTATTATCAGAGAATATACATTTACGTTCTAGATACCATTCTAATCTTTTGTTCAAGATATTATGAAATATTTTACAAAGGCAAGACATCAACGAAATAGGCCTCAGCGAAGATATCAGACCGGAATTTCGTCCTGGTTTGGGGATAGGAATGATTAATATATTACGCCACTGTGTAGGAACAAAACCAGATTCGAAGAATGTGTTGTACAGAGAAAGTAACAATAATTTACCGATATCAGGTAAATTCTTAATCATGGAAAATGAGATTTCATCGCAACCAGGTGCGGTATCCTTTGATTTTATAGAATTTTCCAACTCATGAATAGTAATTGAAGCTTCTAGTTTACAGTTGTATGATTGAAAGCAAGGTTCAGGGGGGGAAACGTAATCAGGCGTTAGGTCATTAAGGAGTTTTTCAGCTAAACTTGAATCTGTGTGCTGGACTTTGGATTTACGGCCCTTTACCCATCTCATTTTGCGCCACATATCACAAGCAGAAGTTGATGAATCGATATTAGAGCAAAAAGCCCTGAAGGAAACACCTCTTGCTTTGCGTGTCATCCTCTGTGACTCCTGAATTTTTTCTTGAAGAAATGTGTAATTTTGTGGTGTTGGGTTGCGTCTAAAATTTGCTAAAGCCAAACGTCGCACTGCCACGGATTTAGATAAATCCGGACTCCAGTATGCTTTAGGTTTAAACTTAGAGCTGATATGTTGGGGAATAATAATCTGGGGAATGTGGGAATCTGCTGCAATCTGTAAAGTATCCTCAAAGAAATCATAACATAACTGTGGGTCTGTGGGGATGGTTGAGTCACGGAGGATGTTCTCTACGGAGGAAGTATACTTTTTCCAGTCTGATTTTTTAAAATTCCTTTTCCTAATTGTTTGCTTATCAACATTAAAATTCGTGGTTAATTTAATAACTAAGTGGTCACTACCTAAAGATTCATTTGTAACTTTCCAAATAAAATTTAAAGTCAAATCCGAGGAAATGAAAGAAATATCCGGTGAGGACTGTTGCAATACGTTATTAACTAATCTTATGCGAGTCGGACTCCCATCATTAGCTGAAATAAAATTATGGTCGATCATTGAGTCAAAAATCTGAGATCCACGTTGATCGGTTTTATATGACCAGTTTGAATGGTGGCCATTAAAGTCCCCTAAAATTAAAGTTTTGCTATTTGCAATCGAGAACAAATGATCCCAGTCCCTTTGTAAAGTACGAACAGTTGAAGGGCAATAAATACCAATTATATACTCAATATGCTGACAATTAAACAATTTAATACACAATAGTTCAATGCCTGGATTAAAGTTATTTACATTACATAATTGCGCGTTAATTGAATTATGTATAATACAAGCTACCCCTCCGTAACCATCATCTCGATCAAGTCTAAAAATGTTGTATTCATTAAAGTTAATCTGACTATCGGGCTCAAACCATGTTTCACTGATAACGGCAATATGAATTTTATCTGTATATAAAAGTTGTTCAAATACGTTAGATTTCGGTCTTAGACTTTGTGCATTCCATTGTAAAATATTAAATTGAAGGGAATTATTGTGACAAGCCATTAATAAGTTTACTTACAATTGAGTTTTCTGGCAGGTTTTTAACTATAATTTGTATTAACCATTCAACTATTATTTTGACGACATTGTTTACTTTGTTCATTAGCGAACCTTTATTCATCAGTGCATTAACTATTTTACCTATTAAGTAACTAAATGACGTAACCGTTGTATCGGGATCGCTTGGCGTTCTACGATGAGCACTTGATTTGTTTGGTTTGTCAGGAAGCGACGATATCCCTTGTTCCTCACTCGTGAATGACGTAGTACATGATGCCTCCGAATCGCAGTCCATATCGCCAGCGGCCGCGGTCGCGGACGGACGCGATTGTTTACGTTTTTTATGTTGAGCTAGCTTCTGTTTAGGTTGCGGCTTAGAATGCAAAGTCGGTGACTGCTTTTGTGTGGATAAAGAAACAGCTGATTTCATTATGTCTGCATACGTTATCTTTTCATTACAGACTTGTACCGGTCTAATGGATTCTTGTGAAATATTGTCATTATGTTTTTCTGTTAATGTAATGTTATTAACTTGGGAGGAGGGGGTAGGAGATGGAGGTACATATAACAACAATGCTTTGCGGTACGTACAGTTAAAATCGTTCATTAACTCTCGAAGTCTTTTTTCTTTTAGATAAATTGGGCATTGCTTATCTAGGGCTAGGTGATTAGCCTTACAATTTACACAAACGAATGAAGTTGTGTCACAATTCTCGTGTTTTCCTCCGCATTTAGGACAAATAACTTTAGTAGACTTACACATCTTTGCAATATGACCGAACCTCCAACATTTAGAACATTGGGTTACAGGCAATATATATCTCTCGACCTTGGCTCTCATTCCAAATATATTAACGTGCGAGGGTACATGTGCACCTTTAAAACAAATACGCAAAGATTCGCTTGCAGTCCATCCATTAGCATTGCTATCTTTATCAGAACACTCATTAGCATTACATCTACGATTGAGACGTCTAGCTGACAAAATTTTAACATCACAGGAGACATTATTAAGAAAATCCTCAATTGATAAATCCAATTCTATGTCTCTGATTATTCCATATGATACCGCAACTTCCCATGATTTTTGTGAACGCCAGCCCATGTCGATAAATGTTTTGCAATTCATCATTTTTTCGGCATTCGATTCGTTGTCAAACGTGACCATTAATTTGTACGGATTCATATATTTCACATGTAATATACCCATTATACCATTAGTTTTAAATAATCGAGCTAGCGCGAATTGTTTCGGAAACTTCTCGTTATTGTATATGCATATCTCAACTTTTTCATCCTCATTGCTGCACCTAACCTCATCTATTGATGTCTGTCTTTTTGCGACTTTCTTTCCCCGTCCGTTAACCACTGTCCAGCTTCCCGACGAGTCATCCTCCCTATCTCTTTTTCTCCCCAAATTTCCGTCATCCTCACAGTCTATACTGCCTTTCTCTTGATGTGTAATAACCTCCATATTCAATTGTATTATATCCTCTAATCCTTCCCTTGGTGTATCACAACATTCCTCACTCGACTCATTGTTAACGGGTGTACTCATAATTTGAAAAAACCAGGCCTGACGGCCGGTCGCGGCGGCAACGAACGAAGTATTTTTTATCGCAAAACCGGTATCTAGTGTTTCGACGTGCAAACAACTAATTCGCCCGAGGTGCAAATCGACACTGAAGTTGTGCACTGACAGAAAAATTATTTATTCAAACATGGTACATAGCTAGCGAATTATACCTAAAGCGGGAACAAACTAACGTTTATAGTTCGTTCCATAATTAGAGACAACTATTTGACATTTCGAGTGTTGCAAGTTTTTTCCATTTCATAAATAGTGAAGTCCCGCGACCGGTATTGACCGAAAGACCGACATAACATTCTGGACTTCGTGCATTTTAAAAGCTTTATTATTTTTAGCTACTTTCCCTGGTACCTTCCTGTGCCCAAACTAACTCAGTCGGGTTAAAATCACAATGCATGATGAATGAGGCAACCGTAAAATAGTGACCCCTTTTAGCAGCCATCAGTCCACGACGTATCGTTCATAATTACTCTTCTCTTTCCGGGAAATCTCCAACAGCTCGGCTTTCAGCATAGGTTCCTCAAATATAATGTTTTTCTTTTAGACAGTCTTGGATTTCGCATTTTTATTTTAAATTATTATTATTAATTCGACAAAACTATAAAAAACATCACCGCAACGTTGTTTTATTTTGCTCAGGGTATTTTATAAAAAAACGGTATCGGTATTTTATTTAAAACATCGTACTCGGGCCCATCACTATGTTAAACATATATCTGGCCACATTATTTTGTAGTTTGACATTTGCTGTTGTCAAATTGTTGTCTCTAATTATTATAAATATATATGTATAATCGTGTAAAGCATATATCGGTTTTATATATTTGATATCATGCAATACGACACGACCTACGAGTATGTTTCAAACCATAATAAGAAATGTATATGTTTCTGCCTTAAGGTAATATAGAGTTGGTTTCTACTACTATTGCGATACATACTTTTAAGACTTTTTTATTCTAATCAACACAAAGTACACTACTTAATAACAAAAAGTGTGGGAGAGCCAAGTTACTGTATGAATGCGTCGTCCCCTATCCTTCCTCTATCCCTTTATCTCCGAGATCCATAGATCTCGGAGGCCGCCGCGCCGTCGGCGGATATGTCCTCAAAAGGCCGGCAACGCATTCGTAACTCCTCTGGTGCGCGGGTGCGGCGCCTATTGCTTACCTAATGATGCGGATTATCTAATGGTAATCCGTCTAAAAGTTTGACGATATATAACATAAACAAATTTAAATTTTTGACTTCTACAATAATTTTTGGATTACTAAACTCAACTCAATTTTACTGTTGAACAATCAAACATAAATTATTAATACTAAAAATAATTTACATAAGGTTGCAAAATTTATGATTAAAATATATAATAATAAATAAACTTACCCGCTATTGTCAGGACCAGACATTGTCACATAGACTTTAAACCTTTTATTGGCTTTGGCTGCTTGTAACATGGCTTGCAGGACAACTCTGGACCGGGAGTGTGTTAAAATTCTCTGCAACATCACATTAATGATGTATTGGAAAATAAATATTAACAAAAGCAATTCAGTGTCAGTAACACTTTATTTCAATAATTAAGATGATCAGTTTGATCATTCATATGATGAAGTTATTAGATTAGATTTATATGTTGTTAGATAGATTAGTTATATATGTAATGTAGGTATAATTTAAGTATGGTGAAGAACAAATAAAATATCTACTTATTTTAATCTATTATCTGAGTTTTTTTACAATTGGCATTATATTACATACATTCAATACTTACATATCCATCATTTATGGCATGTGCTGCTATATTGGCAATCTTCCCTCTAGCCTCCAGTAAGGTGTTGAGGAATATGTGACCTCTTTGCAGCATAATTTGTTCACACTCTTCAAAGGACTGTAAAATATAAAATGATAGAATAATACTTCATGTTTCAAGTCATTGTCTGCATGGTTGGCACTGTGGGTGAGAAATTGACTACTGCACAATAATTAGTACCAGATTCAAGTGTAGCATGGAACAACTTTTTGAATGATTCACAGATTTTTGCTTTTTGTCTCTCTGTAATATACTTAAAGCACTGGCTCGGCCACTGGCTGCCATGTAACAGGCGGCTTCCATTCCAGCGCAAAACAACTTATTATGTGATCAACAAATTATAGTTTGTCCTGGATCTGGGTGTGATGTGTATACAAAATTGTATGTTTGTAAATGCACCCAAGGCACAGGAGACAATCCTAGGGTGTTTATATAATAATAAAATAAAATAACTCACAACAATATTAATAAACTACTTACCTTAACATCAAGCTTGGCAAAGGTAATAAATCTCATGAACAGCTCACATCCTGATGAGATGGCAGTCACAGGCTGGTCACAATGTTTCATGGCATCTACTGCTAACTGCAGGTTCAGATCCAGCTCTCTAACTGTTGCCACTGGTAGGATAAATATTAAAACATACCTAAATCATGGGACATCTCAATCATAAGACAAACACAAACATCTATGACCCATGTCCCTTTTATTTGTAAATTATTTAAAGAAACTTAATTGATGATTATTAAAAAAGGTGGCTAATAATAGTTTCTCCATCTTAATTTGAATAATACAAATGCAGTTGTTAGTATATAGAACACCCAAGTAAATTGTTGTCGACCTTGGAAATTGATAAATATTTTAGTACTGATGGTAGACTTCTTTTATATCTTGGTTCAATAGGGTTCAATCAGTTGACTTAGAAACTATCACCGATAGAAGTAGATAATGTAAATGTATATTGTTAAGCATAGAAAACAAAAGGTATTATGGTATACAGCTGGGAAATAGAATTGTCGTCAAAGTGATGCAAGAATTGCAAGAGCCAATGAAATATATGCTATATCACATTTTTTGTTTATTTACCTTTGTAATTTTCTATAACAGATAACAATGTCCTAATGGCAGCGACTCCTGCCGATACATCCTCCTCTTCTTTCAATATTTTCAAAAAGATTTCTTGAACTTCTGTAAATGTTAGAACATAAAATATGTAAAATTCACCAATACATATATAAGTTGTTGATGCTACTTATTTAGATAGTAGTTTTATTCCATACCTTCTTTCTTCATTATGGTTTTTGAGGTGTTTTAAGAAAATAATAGTTGAAATTATTCCAATTTGTTTACGTGCTACAAAACATCACACAACATAACCTTAAAATCAAATAAATGTCAATCGCTCGACAATCTGTCAATGTCTCTTTTTCGTCTAGAAAGTAATGTAGAAATCTGTTATTTCTATTCCGTGGTAGGAAACGCTTCATTATATAATTTAACATAGCAATTACGCGCTACAATTATAACTGTGTTTGTATTATTATTAAAGAATCCATGGACATATAAAACATTTTTTTTGAACAGCGTGTAGCCAAAAAATATTCTATATTATAGGATTTTATTTTAGGTATGATCCGTTCACAACACATCACCTATCATTGTGTAGAATGATAGCTGTTGTTAAATATTTCATCAACAATAACATTATTATATTACCATCAAAAACTGTAAAAAAAAACAGTTCTCTTATGTCGGCAAACGGGCAGACGGATTGCCTGGTTAATCAGCACCGCCCATGGACACCCACAACGGAGGAGTTACGAGTGCGTTGCCAACCTTTTAAGGATAAGCGTTTTGAGAGATTTAGGGATTAAGGAGGGATCGGGGTAGGGGAAGGATTGGGCCTCCGGTAACATTACTCACACGGCGAAACACAACGCTGTGGTTGTTTCACGCCGGTTTTCTGTAAGGTCGTGGTATCACTCCGGTCGAGCCGACCCATTCGTAGGTTACCGAAGCATGGCTCTCCCACACATAGTTCTCAACTGTTATTGACTTCAACTGCTTTAATATGCTTAAATAGTCTATGAATGACCCGATGAAGACTATTATTTTATATTTTGAAAGGGGCAATTCATTTTATAACTTCTTTCGCCCAGGTTGACGCAAGAGGCAGTGTTAGACTTTTATTGCCTAAAAACCAGTTCGTTCCTTGTTCTACTTCAGACAGGGTTCGCGGTACCTTATAGCGCCTGCCCCGTAACCCCGACTGAACATCAGCCCTGTTGGGCTCCCCAGCAGTGGGGATCTAATACTGGTCTGTTGGCTCTGTGAAGGGCGCACGCGGGGCACAGAATGCTACGAGCCGTACGCTTGTGTAACATTATTCTTTTTGTTTAGACGGATTACCTGGTTGTATGTTATCAGCGCCTCCCATGGACACTAGTAATACCAACTGACGGTGCGTGGCCTGCCAAGGGTTCAGCTGAAGTCTTCAGCTTCAGCTGAACACCAGCCCTATTAATAGGACCCCGTCTGTAGTGGTCTACTGGCTTTTTGAGGCGCGCGCGGAGCGCTATACGCGCCGTTCGCTCGGGTCTGGTTCTGGTCGGGCGGCGAGCTACCCTTACTCGCCGCTAACGGTGGCCGGAGATCGTCTCTCGATCCCCACCGCCCGGAGTGTCGGCTACTGCGGCGGCTGGGACGTGAGGAGGAGCTAGGATAGCTTACCCACGCCTTCCTCCTTTGCGAGCATGACTGCTTCACAGAAAGAGGCTTCCCTCTCGCTCCGCACCATGGCCTCAACAAAGGCCGGGCGCGGGAGAACGCCACTAGGTAAAACTTCATAGGTATGCCTTACTACGAAGTTTAAAAAAAAATCATAAGTAATTAAAAACATGTGTTTAAGACTGTTTTGAGAGTTTTGAGAATTGGACCCCGGTAACCTCACTCACGGTGAGACACAACGTTGTTTGCTTCACGCCGACCATGTTAGGCCGTGTTATCACTCCGGTCGAGCCGGCCCATTTGAACCGAAGTATAAATAAATTTCTAAATTCTCATATTTAGAATTAAGAAATTAGGTACCGTTAAGACATGAATAATCTAATCCTTCTTTTTAATGCGGAAGGCGTTTACAAGGGAATAAACACCACCACCTAAGATAATTACTAAATGTGTAAACCCTATTGGAGACTTCTGTCTAGGAATAAAAACATACCATTATGTAAAGAAAATGAGCATAGGCGCATGCGCATACGACCAAATCAAACCTGCAATAAGTATATTAGCAAGATAACTTGTAAAAGACGCGACGAGCACATCCGATAGGGATAACCAAAGATAAAACTGCTCAGATCTACTAAGTAACTTATCACGTGAGAAATAAATATAGAAGTTTATAATTATCAAGAATATAAATCATTGATAACGATAATTAGCATTTGTTATCACCATTTTACAATAACAACTTCTCTGTATTTACCTAATAGAAATATCTACGAACACCCCATAATGCAACTGATAGCGCCATCTATTATCGGATTGCAATTACTAAATTAAGCGGGAACTCTTCACAAAGCATCCCGATTTTCCTTCGATGGCGGTCTGAGATTTTCTTAAAACAATTAAAGGAAATGACGCGTTGTTTCTGATAGTTAGCGAGGGAAAGTCACGGCCACAGCTCTCTAAGTTGACGTTGGTTATAGTGTTACTGGTAGTTGCGTGGGTTAGACGCGTTTTATGGATAGCAGACACTGGTTGTTTACGAAAACACCGGTATTCATTGTGAACTATTGTTGAAATACCGACAAAACATGGGAAACTCGGCATCTGTTAAGCTGAACGACAAACGACGGTGGCAGTAAGTTATTTTTATTTGTATGACTCTTTTCATTAATGTTATAGTTACATTTGTTTGTAATTAACACCTAACAGTGTGTCACGAATATGTTTAATGTAAATAGTTTGCATCAAAGTAGTCTCTAAGTATAAAATTTAATTAGGGATAGTTAAAAAGAATTATTTTCCAAGTGTTAAGATAATGTTTAAAAAATTACGTATGTTATTACTATTCAGTATTTAGTACTTACCTAAGTACTCCTATATGTTATAGTAGTACTATCACCTGGTTTAAGCGGAAGAAAAATAACAAAATTGTTTTTTAACTTTTTTGCGTAGTGCATTGCATACTTGCCGTTGTTTATATCTAGCGTAGTCCTTCGACCTTCATTGAGTTCATAATAGCCTTAAGCTACATAGACTTAATTTATGATTTGTTTTTCAGAGATGACAGAATCTTTGAGTATTGTTTGAATAACTGTAGAATTGTTTTGTGTATGAAAGGGTAACTTAATGTAAGTACTTGACTAAATACCAATGTAGTTATATTTTTTTTGAGGGGAAAAATTGATTCTAATCGAATCCTAATCTTATTCAGTCCTGGGTGAGGCGGGACGGATTGCCACTCATACTGACTAAAAACCTCCCCGTTCCTTTTTCTGCTCCGAGCTGGGCCATGGTACGTCATTGCGCTTTGTCCGCAACCACAGAGCATTATAATTTAAGAAGAAACTTCTTCCGCAAATCCGTTGGGAGCATATATATATTATGTAGATTAGGTTAATATTGCATGCCTTAATATCTACCTACACTGCACACTACCTGTTAATTTTACTAGCACTAACACAAATCCACTTTTCACTGGTCAAGTGCGATTGTTGAGAAAGGGGTCCATCTAGGTTTCGAATTCAGTGTATAGCATTAGGTACGCAAACCTACTCGGGAGTCACAACAGTGATGTTACATATTACGTACCTACGTGAGCCTCTGCTACTACAATATCTATAAAATTAATTTAGATAGGGAATTTTGGCAAGAATTTGATTGATCAGTTGGGGCTGGGTATCTATGTCCAGCACTGGACTGAAGTCTCTGGGATTTCCTACCTACGCTTCCTCAATAGCACGCGACTGATGAGTTCTTCTTTAGCCCAACGATTGCTAGCCATTAGCCTTATATTAAGATAAAGATAAAATCTGTAAACGCGGTATTGGCCTCTTAGCGGATTCTTACACAGTTCCTTAAACCTATTTACATAGATATAATTAACGTGTGTAGTTACAATACGATTACATTCAATTAATTTGTCTGCTTAATTTAAATAGACCTTACCTAGATTGCTGCTGCCCTACATTATGTATTCACTTTGAGTAAAACACATAATAGGTAATGCATTGTTTTAATGTGTGTCAGAAATCTTATCTCGATCACTGAAGCGATAACATTATATTTGATTTCTATTTACGATGGCCGACGACGTAACGCCAATGCATAGTTTAAATATGAAATAATATTATTCCTTTAAAGTGCCTGGCCTGGCCTCCTAGCCATGTTCGATATCGCTTTACAAACGAAACAAAACGTACGGGAATTACGGAACGTACGGGATTTGGTTGACGTGACTTATAGAGAGAGGATCTACAGAAACCTTCATACATTTGTTTTTATTATTATCCACACTGAACTTTGCTTTACGGGCATAATATTTTGTTTAAATAATAGTATTTTATACTGTCTGGATAGTCGGTATGTACCAATCGAATATCGTACGTAATTTGTATGAACTATCTACAACAAAAGTGCATCGGGTGCACTCCTGCTTACATCAGATCACATCATCAGCCTTTAAGTGCCCACTGCTGAGCAAAGGTCTCTTTTCACATGGAGAAGGTTTAAGCATTAATCACTACGCTTAGATACTCAAGGCGGATTGGTTATTTCAAACTTATAAGTCCGGATTTCCTCACGATGTTTCCTTTCATCAGTCAGTTGTGTCCAAATAATCATAGAAAGTACATATAACTCTGTGAAAGTCACATAGGTGCTGGCCAGGTTTTGAAACTGTAGGTACCCTAATATATGAGAACTAAGCCTTAACCTTCGGACCAACATACATCTATGAATGAGTGAAGTATTATGCAGGTACTTCAATATGTGCTGGAATAGGCTACAAATCTGTAAAATAGTAGACAGAAGCTCCCACACGAGTAACAAATGTGGTATCCATCATATCATTAATAAGTAAGTCTAGGTAGGGTAAGTAATTAAGCGAAACTCCAAGTGCCTGCTATTAAATAATTTACATTTCTTAAATTTATTAATCATAAAAATATATTGTTCAATGCATAAAACTTTACTTAGGTATCGACAAATGTTTTTAGAATCAAATTAAACCAATAAATCATAATATTAAAATGTTATAAATTAAATACTTTGAACTCCATTCTTCGTAGTCAAATCAAATCCAACCTAGATATTATGTAAGTAGGTACTTATAAGAAGCCTATTAAAAGTGTTAAACATACGTT